ACTCAGAGAAATTACTTCTTCCTACAAAAGGGAGCAGCCTTCCGTAGTTTGTTCTTAACACTCAAATGTAACATTTAAAATGATTCCACTCTAAAAGCAGTGCCATAAATGTAGTAGTCAGGTCACCACATCTCAAGGTAAAAAGTATCTTAGATTTTTCGTTAGTTTAAGAAACTCAATTTCCAACAGTGTATTTCTAGTGGGAGTTTCAGAGCAAATCTATTTTCTGATATTTTTTTCCCCTACGCCTCTGAACGAAAACAAGGAACTCTGGCCGTTAATGTTTTATTATACAAAAAACATTTAGCTATTTTCATTTATTCATTTCATTTGGGAAAGTGAAAAAATATATTTTTCTTTGCTTCCTCCCTGCATTTCCAAGGACACAGCCCGTCATCAGTAGCCAGGGTGGGTACAAATGGCGCTCCTGCCCACCCCAGATGACCCGTATTGCTTTCAGTAATGAATATTTCCAGCCCAGCAAACAAAAGCGGGCCTAGCAAAGAACCAATTGTGACCACCGTGGTCACCAGCAGGCCTAGGAAATGGATCCAAGCGAAGGCGGGACGGCATTTCTTGCTCTGGGGGCTGCGTTTGTTATTCTGCACCATATTCAGTACTTTCCATTTGGTCTGAGGAGTCTGTGTGTTCGGTTTTGGAAGGCAGGTGCGTGCGGTGCGAAACGCATTCCGGACCCACTCCCAGCTGCGGAGAGAACGCACTAGCCACATGCTATGCAGCAGAGCTCGCAGAGGCCGATTCGGCCGCTAGTCTTTTCCCTCCCCTCTCCCCCTCCCTTCACTGCCACAGTCACTGTCCTCGGGGTTTCGTTAATGCAACATTCCGGTTTCCCGCTGGCTAGTTCGCTGTTTTATAGGCTCCCTCAGGGTTTGCAATTCCCCTTTTTGGCTCAGCTTCTTGCCTCAGACGTTTCCATGCGGCTAATCACTTCTCAGTTCCCTTTTAATCAATTTTCCTGTTATTCCTGTGTGGTGCTGCGGGATCTCCTATGCCAAACAATACGTGTCTGTGGGCTGGGCTGGGGTGTCAGTATGACCCTGCACAGAAAGTGCGTCCTGCTTTTTTTTTTTTTTTTTTTTAACCCGGATTGAACCTGGGGTGCTTAATCACTGGGTCACATTCCCAGCCTTTAATTTTTAAAAAAACTTTAATTTTGGTACAGGGTCTCACTAAGTTGTTTAAGGCCTCATTAAATTGCTGAGGCTAGCCTCTAACTTGCAATCCTCCTGCCTCAGCCTTCCAAGCCACTGGGATTACAGGCATGTGGTACCAGGCTCAGCTTTCTTTTAAAGCGTAAATTTAAAAAGAAAGTTAAAAGACTCGGTTTAGTTGACTTTAATTTCGAACCATACGCCTCACCACCAAGTGCTCTTAAAAAATAGCAAAAGCGCAGAGGCTGAGCCAGGCCGGGATTAGCTCGGACTCCGCGATCCTGAGGCTCTAAAGAAGGAAGACTCAGAATCCCTGTCGAGGGGCGGCTGGAGGGACAAGAGTGCGTGATTATTCCCAGACTCTGCCCAGGGTTCTCTGGGAATGCCGCCTGCGTTTTCTGCTCTCGGTTGCGTCCCCGCAGATCCGAAACGCGCACCTGCGGGACCCGAATTAGACTTTTCATCTGCTTGTTTAATTTTCCAGTGGAGATTCTGAAATGTGTGGACCCCGGGGACATTCCAGCCTGTTGCACTTTTCGTTTTGCACCCAATTCCCTGAAACCTTTTCATCAAATATCAAAGCGACGCACGAGGCGAAGCGACGGTAGCTTCAAGGATAGCACTGTTAACTGAGCCTCTAGGTAACTCGCAGCCTGAACTTCGGGTGCTGAGTTCACGGTTCAGGTGGTAAACCATTGAGAGTACTCACCCTCAAACCTCTCCGCTGCCAGCCCTCCTACCCCCAGCCACCCGAAGGGCATATACCCACTTTGCGCTTCCTCTTTGTCTCACACATTCGACACAGAGCTTGCCTCTCCTTTCCCTGCCTTAAGGTACCTGGCTCAGGTTCCGAGGCCGCTCAGGAACCCTCACAGCTCTTCTGCCTCCGTGGGCGTCCAGCCCCAGGCAGAGGAGTCAAGTCCTGCATGCATCCTCTGCTGGGTGGCTTCCGCGCCGCTGGAAGCCACACTTCACTTTGTCGCAAGTAGTATCCAGGGCTCGAAAAACTACTGTGCCAAACCCAGCTACGCAAAAATGCGGAACCCGCGAGCTCTTTACCTCTTTGCTTTCACCGCTGACCAGTAGCTGCCCCCAGACCCTGGAGAGGATCAAGCTGCATCCGCGGAGGTGGAAGAGACGTTTATTTTTCTTCCGCAATCCCACCTTTGGGTCACCTCTCCCCTGGTCTAGCAGGCTGCACTGGAACCCGCGGAGCCCAGCTGGGGGCCGACAGGGGGCGACAAACTGTAAGATTTTTCCTAGTGGCCGGCTGGGCAGAGGGCTGCAGAATGCTGAGTGGTCCCGACCAAGAGAAACTGGCTCCCGGGAGCGGAGGGGCAGCAGGGGGTGAGGTGAGGACCCCGCGCGTTCTTTTATCCCAGAAAGTCTCCCAGGCGCATCCCTCCCAAATCTTTCCCCAACACTTTTTTTCAGCTAGGGTCGGCCTTCCCTGGAAGGAAAGGGGTGACGTCCTGACTTCATTTCTTTGCCCGCGCCCCGCGCTCTGCTTGGCAGAAGCAGGTTGGATGTTCCTCCGAGAGGGTAATTGGAGAGAACCAGCTCTCAGAACAGTACGACTTGCTTTACTTGGTTTTTGAGAGTGCCTGTCGACTCACCTACAGGGGAAAGAAACGACCTTAGCTGCTTTTGCGAATCACCAGAATGCACTGGATTGAGGTTTGGATGCTGTGTTTCTCGTATCTCAAAGACATCACGGTATAAGAATCCACCTTTCTTGGTATCCCTTGTCTGATTTGAAATTCGGACAACAAACCTCCAGTTCAGAGGTTAACAGGTTCCAAAATGCCTAGAGGGAACTGAACAGGTTATGTTATCTCCACTCTCCAAAGCCTCAGAGTATCCAGCAGGTGTCCCGTGTAGTCAATGTCCTCTGCTTGGTGCCTTCGCAGAACCCCTGACTCTAGCCTGCCCACCATAAATCCAAAGCTTTCCTTGGATCCTTACCCCAACACTGCACCGTTCTGACAGGCCTTATCTTCCATATGGGTTTTCCCCGCTCCCAGTCTTGCATCCTCTCGCTCATGCACTGACCCCCCAAACATCTCTCCCGTCCTGGCGAACTTCCCACGGCTCCCAGAGGGTGCCAGAGTGTAAGAGTCTATTCTTTGGAACCTGCCCTCCCCTTTCATGGGTTAATCTTGCTCTTTGCCCCAGTTTCCGCCCCTCTGGGACTTTGTGCGCCATCTCCCGAGAGTCTAGGATTTATGGCTCAGACCCTTCAAACTGACACTTTAGGATAGGTTGATTAAGAGCCAGCGATGCTCTCTGGCCCCGCAGTCGAGAGAAAAAAAAGTCTGGGACTCCACTCTCTTGGCTCCCCCAGCAGCGCCTTGGAAGACATCAGTGCGCAGGCGCGGCGGGAGGCCCAAGGCTACTCTCAAGAACTATACCTGGAAGGATTGTGTTTGGGGAGCTGGATGTTTTCTTGTTTTCGGAGGAGTGCTGTAAATGCTTGGAAGTACCTGGAACCCCCTCCTAAACTCTTTCTATTCTGGTGCTTTCAGCTCAAAGTACTCAGAGTTTTGTCCGCGCGCTCGAAAATCTGACGTCCTTGGTCAGTTCAGGTGCAAAATAAAATATTTTCCCTTTCACTTGCTTTCTCCTGGCCCCCCTCCGCATGGCTTCTTCTGAGACTCTCACAGTTAGCAATACAGATTGGCAGGTTGAAGAAGAGTAGAAAAGATTTGGCGTTTGGGCTGGGGGTATAGCTCAGTTGGTAGAGTGCTTGTCTAGCATGAATAAGGCCCTGGGTTCAATCTCCAGCACCACCAGCACCAGCACCCAAAAAGATTTGGCGTTTATCGCCAAAGAATGCAGGGATCCCCAAACCCCGCTTAAATGAAGGTCAAAGAACCATTCTGTGGTTTAGCAGAGACCTCTTGGAGGCTGCAGGTGCTGGGGAAAGGCGAGGCCAGACCGACTCAGGATGAAGGGTCGGGATTACACTACCTGAAAGGGACTATTCTTCTGGCCTATGCTGGAGCTTTGCGTTTGGTCTCCTGTGAATGGCCAGGACACACTTGGGGACCAGAGGCAGCAGATCGGAATCTCTTTCCTGTCTGCTCCCTATGTCACCTCTTTGAGGGAAATGAGTTCTGGTGGGTGGGCCGCAAGACAGAATCTGTAATGTGCCTCTCTCGGGTCATTGAAATTGCTGTCTATTTCAAGGGAGCGGGTGGATATTAGACATAAAAATTTCCTGAGAGCAGCGCTGGGGAGTAGACCAGAAATGGGATACCCAGGAGTCAGCTCCCCAGGAGCCCTGTATCAAACTAGATCCTCACTCTCCTCTTTCACCTTGACGCTCACACCCAGCTCGGGTATGACCCCACTCTTGCGGAGCTCCTGCCCAGGAGGAGACTTCACCCTAAACACCTTGCCGTGATCAACTTTTACCCTCTGAAGTCTCGTTAGTAACGATGGTAGAGGTGGTAATAAAACTAAAACCCAAACTAGTACTAGTACTAACACACATAATCAGTTTGAAATGACTTCCCAATCATCCCCAAAGCCAGAGAAGGAAGGGGCTGCAAAGGTCTGGGAGCAAGTGCCCTGTCCTAGGTCCAGCTGGGTTTGGAAATTGGGGCGGTGTGTGTTTTTGGAGTGTGTGTGTGTGTGTGTGTGTGTGTAAAAGGGGGAGTGCTGGTTCCGGAGGGGGGTGGAGAAAAGCCGGGAGGACAGAAGGAGGAGGTAGAGTTTCAGGGCGGGGAGGGGGGCGCCTGGGCGCAGTGACGGGAACCAATGAGCTGCCAACTCGCGCGTCTTCTGCGTGACTGCAGAGATTGACGTGAAGGACACGTCAAATTGATTCCCGCACGCTGCAGCTTCCCGGTCAGACGAATTTCTCCCAATCGGATGAAGTTCACCCTGGGCCTGGGGTCGCGGGCGTGGAGAGTGTCCTGGGAACGGGCGACAGAGGCGGGGGCAAGTCCTGGGGCGGGCAGTGGCGCGCTCCGCAGCGGCGCACTGCGCGTCTCCAGCCCGCGGCCCGCCCGCCGCGGATCTAGGCTCGCGCACGCCCTCCCTCTATGCCTCTCCGGCGGTGGCGGCGCCCGAGCTCTCCCGGACTGCTCCGGGCCCAGCCCCCGCCGCTCCGGCGCCAGGCAACTGGTTGGCTCACGCGCTATGGGTAAGAGGCGAGAGGCAGGCAGGGCGCGGGAGGGCTGATGGGGTGGGTCGCGACTCTGCGCCTCCCTGCCCTCTGCTCCGCTTTTCCTGGGCAAAAACAGTTCTGGGACCCTCATTCTCCTCGTATCCCCAGCCCTCGAGGAGCAATTCCTCAAGTTGGGGAGGGGGTCTCAAGTAGGCGCGCCCAAAGTAGAGAACCCGCATTGAATGCTAGAGCGCGCAGTGAGCCCCTCGGCGATCCCCAAGACTGCTCAGCCTCTTAGAGCTGGACCCAGGCGGTTTGCCTCCGGACTCTGAGCTGTCTGGGGATCTGTGGGTCACCTTCCGAGGCGCGCCTGGGTATATCGCCAGGCGTGGACATCCTTAGCTAACCCATCGGTGTTTTCTCCCCCTCCTGCTCAATTCTCGACCGGCGCGTCCGCAGAGCAGACCTACGGCGAAGTGAACCAGTTGGGCGGCGTGTTCGTCAATGGCCGCCCCCTGCCCAACGCCATCCGCTTGCGCATTGTGGAATTGGCACAGCTGGGCATCCGACCCTGTGACATCAGTCGGCAGCTTCGCGTCTCCCACGGCTGCGTGAGCAAGATTCTGGCGCGCTACAATGAGACGGGCTCCATTTTACCCGGGGCCATCGGGGGCAGCAAACCCCGCGTTACCACCCCCAACGTAGTAAAGCATATCCGGGACTACAAGCAGGGAGACCCCGGCATCTTTGCCTGGGAGATTCGCGACAGACTGCTGGCCGACGGCGTCTGCGACAAGTACAACGTACCCTCGGTGAGCTCCATCAGTCGCATCCTGCGCAACAAGATTGGCAGCCTAGCGCAACCCGGGCCGTACGAGGCAAGTAAGCAGCCGCCGCCGCAACCTGCACTGCCTTATAACCACATCTACCAGTATCCCTACCCCAGCCCGGTGTCGCCCACCGGCGCTAAGATGGGTAGCCATCCTGGGGTGCCGGGCTCGGCGGGCCACGTCAGCATTCCGCGTTCATGGCCCTCGGCACATTCGGTCAGCAACATCCTGGGCATCCGGACGTTTATGGAGCAAACAGGTCAGTCGTGGTGCCTTCTGAAGCCCTCTACTAAAGGACAGACTTGGGAGCGGGCAGATATGCGGGTGATGGGTTATACTCGCCCTCGTTTTTAGACTGATTCTGGCTCAGGAAAGTGTTGGGGGGAAGCTGAGGGTCCAGATCCTTCTGTGGGAGCCCTCGGACATCTTGAACTTTTTATGACAAATATGGAAAATATTTCCCAAGTGGAAGAGTAGTCGCCGACCACAAATCCGAAGGCCTGAAATTGCATTTTTTTTTTCATTTTACAAAAAGAATACAAACCCCTATCGCCAAATCTAAACCAAACAAACTTCTCAGGCCATTCTGCTACCCTATCTTTAGCTTTCAGGATCCCTCACAGTTACCCAGTATTCTGTCCACCCTCCCAGACCTAGGGGGCTCTTCTGAGAAAAAGGAGTCGTGTGGTCAGTCTTGTCCAGTGTCCTAGATTTCTATCAGGTTCCCTTGCAAGTCCTGCGACAAGTTCAATGTACCCTTGGTGAGCTGGAGTTGCCAGTAATGGCCACCACCTGCTGCAGCTACAGTCACAGGACTTGCCCTTTGACTGTAATTAAAACATAACCAGCTGTTGGTCATCTCTGGTGAAGTGAAAAGTGGGAGGTTTGGGACAACTATGGTGTCTGCCTATGGAAGGTCATGTGTGGACCAAATCTGGCTGTCTTCATACAGCTGACAGGGGAATGGTGTTCTCTTATGGTAGTAGAGTCAGTAGGAGGGTAAGAAGCAAAATCCATCATAGCCCTGGAGGAAAAAGGGGCAGCTTAAAAGAAACTTGAATGCTTTTACCCTTGTTTCAGCGGGGCAGACCTCTCAGCATACTGTTTTTCCTGGGGCTCTAACACAGTCTGAGCTGTGGCGGAGTTACCTCTCAACCAGCAGCCGCTAGGCCAGTGCTCAGATCTGGAGCTTTCCCTCTTTTCCCCCAAGTGCACATAGGCGCTAGGAGCAGCTGTGTGCCTGGAACACTTCACTGGGTCCCAGGACTGACTCCTCTTTTAGAGTAACAGGATAGAGCTATTTCTCAATCCCCTATACGCTTATTGAAACGTTAAAATATCTACACAATATTCGGCAGGCTGCCACGAATTTGAACTTGGATCTTTCAGAAATGCCGTCTTTGGAGAGTGGAATTGGTCTGCCTTGGCCTGGTGTGTCTGGTCCCTGACCCCTTGGGCCGCGGGTTTCGTGGGAAGCGGGTCCAGGGCTGAGAGAAGCGGAGATTAGGCCCCTTCACCTTTCTTTCTCCTAGCCAGCTAGGAGTGAAAGCGAAACCCGGGTCCTGCTGCTTCTCTGCTTCCATTGCTCCCTGGATTGCTTGACCATCTCCAGGTGTTCCAGTGGACGCCTAGTTGAGCCTCTGGATACTAGCCTGGGTAGTTGATTGTTGGCGCGTGTCTGGGTTGGAGAGTCAAGCCTAGATTCGAATGCGCGTTTTAATCCATTTTGTGTCCGCAGCAGGGGCCCTGGCCGGGAGCGAAGGCTCCGCCTATTCCCCCAAGATGGAAGAGTGGGCCAGCGTGAACCGCACGGCCTTCCCTGCCACCCCAGCAGTGAATGGGCTGGAGAAACCTGCCTTGGAAGCGGACATTAAATATACTCAGGTAACCAGGACGCAGGGGAGGTAGGTGACTTGCACTAAGGGTCTCCCAGGAGAAGTCTGCCTGGCAGGCAGATCTTGTGTCTGGCGCCAAGCAGAAAATTTTTGTACTTTCCTCAAGAGCCGTAGTTTGGGGGAGGCTGGCTTTTGAGGGGATTGATTTGCCTTTTGCCAAGGTTCCTATGCTAACAAAGCTGGAAGTTCCAGACCACACTCCAATGGTGTGTACCATGACTTCTTTTTCTTTTATTATCGTTTATAACGTTTGAATAGATTTATAGAAATCATTTTACCAAAGAAAGAGTCCTTACTAGGAAAACCAGAGACCAGGCCTTGTGTAGGGGCAGCAGGGTGAAGTGAAGACCCCACTCCACAGGTCAGCAATCGCGTGTACTGGAGAAGATAGGGTCTTCTGACTCTCTACTGACTCTCTGTGCCTCTTTACCCCGCAGTCCGCCTCGGGCATCTCGGCTGTAAGCGGCTTCCTCCCGGCCTGCGCTTACCCAGCCTCCAACCAGCACAGCGTGTATAGCGCGCCAGGCGGCGGGTACCTTGCCCCAGGCCCGCCTTGGCCACCGGCGCAGGGACCCCCGCTGGCACCCCCAGGGGCCAGCGTCACAGTACATGGCGGGGAGCTTGCCGCAGCAATGACCTTCAAGCATCCTAGCCGAGAAGGTGAGGGGCACAGGCTGGGAGGGGATCAGATGAAGGGGTAAGGAAGGGTGGAGAGGAGAAGGGTGAGCTACCAAAAAGGAGCGGTGGAGGTGGGGGGATAGAGCAAAGAGAAGGAGCAAGAGGAGGAAAGCCGCTGGGCATAAATTCTTGCTTTAAGTTTAAGGTTAAGATATTAATCTTGTCCCTTCTTGAGCAAATTCATTTCCAACAGGTGTTCCTAAGAGGCACCTGATGTTGAGGGAGGTCCTGACTCGTAAACAGTGGGGAAAGAGGGTCAGTTCTGCAAACAGGACTCCTGGGTTTGGATCTGCTTCTTGTATTTTGGCCAAGTTATTGCTCCTCTCTGGGCCTCAATTGCTCCATTACCAGAAGAGCCTAGAAAGCACCTTCCAGGCCCACATTTCTGTGACCTGCTAAATTTTTATTTAATCCATGGTCAGGGTCATGAGGGGCATCTTCTTATCCTGCCCATCAAAATTTGATTTTCCCTTTAATATGGGAAAAGTTTATTCACACATGAGTTTCCATTTTCTTCCTTGATGAAAGAAATGGTTGGATTTGCTATTTTTGAACCTGCCTGTGTTTAGATTCTGATCACCAGAGATTTGCAGTTTCACCTCCTTTGGGGCCAAATAAGGAGGAGGCTGACATCTCAGGGGGTCCCAGCCTCAGCAGAGAAGGGGACAGGGCACAGGACCTGAAGGATGGAGTGGGGCCCAAAAGATATTCCTGAATTACGAAGAGACCTTTACCAGTTGATTTGCCTCACACCTGCTGAGTGTGTGGGGGTGGGTAGTGGTGGCAGGTGGTAGTCGACTGGCAGGTGACCTGAGGGGCTTCCTCCTTGTTGCCTCCTAGACAAAAATTGCTGTTTCCAAATAGTCTTGGTGAGATAGGATGGCATTTATCTATGTGTGTGTGTGTGGGGGGGGGAATTAAGTGCCATCCGTAGCAGTAAAGGAAAAAAACAGCTTTCTTATTTCTACCTTTTCTAAAACATACACATCCTGGAATATTAGCATATGCTGATTTGCCTAATTATAGACAAGCAAAATAAATTTACAAAAATTGAGAATTAGAACTCCTTTAACTTTTAAGTAACAGGATAATACCACTTGTTCATTTAGAGGAAAACTCAGATGAAGGAAATTTTAGAAAGAGACACCCATCCTCTGTGAAACCCAGGGATTCTGTTGAAATTAAAATAAAAATGGAATTTTTATCGTTGCACAAATAATTTTACTGAGAAGGTACATTTAAATTAAAAAAAAATAAATCTACAAATTTAAATGATTTCTGCTGGGTTGACCCCAAGGAAAGGAAGACTTAGAAAAAGGACCCAGTGTCTTTAAAAGATGCAGTCATTTTCCAATAGAGCCACTTTGTTTTGGAGGCACTTCAAAACTCCACAGTATAAATAAATTTGTGAAGTGTAAATAATTAACAATCCAAAGGTAAAATGTAGAATATTCTAAACTACTTCTACTAAATTTGGGAGGGATGTAACTTTAACAGTTTGGCTTATAGTTGATTGACTTTCTTTGGTAGATATTACATTGGTGATTATAATAATAATAATTTAATGTTATGATCCTTACAGTTCTTTAAAAGTTTCAGGTAAAGGATCAAGGACTAATTCAGGTCCATCAATAATAATGATTTATTAAATGTTTTTTGTTCAAAGAGCATAAAATAATTATTTATTATGTGTCTATTTTCACAGCATGAGAATTATATATACACTTGGGTTATGAATTTTTTGATAGAAAAACTGACTTCGACCCCTGCCCCAACTGGTCCTTGAAAAGATAAAGTAATACAAATTACTGTCACTTATTTTCTAATCATTTCTTGAAATTAATATCTTCAAAGAAACCTAACCCATAAGATAGTTTGTTGTCACTAATTGCTCAGTTTTTTATGGTAAGAATAGCATTCACTAAATTTGTTTTCGGTAGAAAAAATTTCATTAGAAAAACTGAAAACAAGTGAATATCATGAATGCTCAGTAAAAATGCTTTGGATCATCTAGTGCATACACATGACAATGACACATTCACATATATATGTATATGTGTGTATATATATCTTGCGTATATATGCACATATAAATATATATATCCTTCAAATTATACATAGGTACAGTTAAACATCTTATAGTTATCAGAAGGAAAGCCTTTTCAAATGCCAAATTATGCATCACAATTTATTAATTTTATTTTGGGAAAGGTAATGGGTTTGGGTACTCTACTATGTAGGCAAGAAAATATGATCTACATTTCCCATCCCCTGAAAGAAAGCTAAATCTTAGGCACTGAGAAAAGAATAGGAAAATCCACTTCATCTTCGTGTGGAGGGGCTAATGTTCTATAAATTTAACAGTTATCCAAATGTCTTCATAGCTGGGGGAGACCCCCTCCTAAAGTGAAAGACCCACCAGACCCCCACCAGACATTCCCTCAAGACAGCTAGTATTTGCAGCAGTATTTTTAGCAACCACCTTACTGTCAGGGTTTAAAAATCCCTCACAGCAGGTTTTGGGAAGACTAAAGATTTGGAAATCAAATCTGTAAGATATTGTATACATACATACAAAGAAAATGTGTTGTCTATATTTGTTAAAGGTAACTTGCAGCTTTCTCCCAGTTATCTCTGCTTCAAGATTAGTTTTTAGGAGATCCTAAAACGATTTTTTGTGTGTGAGGGATCACTAGAGCGCTGGCATCCGTTCACCATAGAACTCCCCTGTCAATGCCGGGCTCTTTTGACCTAGCTCTGGGAGACTACTTCCCAGATCACCCGGACCTCTGTTGAAAGGTCCCCGTGCAGTGGCCAGTTGCGGTCCCTGTATTTTAAAAAGGTCTGTCCGTATTCCTTACCCCACCCTGCCCAAGCTGAGTAAATGAGCTTGCAGAGCTCCTAACAAGGGTTTATGCTTCCGAATCCCCCAGACAAACTCACCCACATTTCCTTGAGTCTTATGATAGGAAATAGAATGGAATGGAAGGGGAGAGTGGGTCCCAGGGAGGGATTACAACAGAAAGAACTAAAAACACAGCAGGATTGGCCCCTGAAGGTGGGGTGGAATCTAGCTGGGGGATCCCACGTGTTTATTTTTCAGGAGCCCATTTTCTTGCTTGTCTCTAAGGTAATCCGCCTTTGGTAGAAACACCTCCTCCCCCTCAGATGTTTTCTAAACAAGTCCTCACTTTGAAGTGTGTGTATAGGGTGAAAAGAAAAGGTCTCAATACTTCCTTGACTTGGCAGTCACAACTGTGTTTAGGAAAGAGCTGAAAGGTGGAGAAAAGCCCAGAAGTCTCTTTCTATTGGTCTGTAGATCTCTTTAAAATCTCTTCGAAACCAAATGTGTGTGTGTGTGTGTGTGTGTGTGTGTGTGTGTGTGTGTTTCTCTGGCACTTGAGGTGTGGGTTCTTAGTTCAGGCAGTCACAGCAAGTTGTGCCTGGGTCTGGGGTGAGAACTTATGCTGGAGAGAAGAGGGAGGGGGCAGGTGGGTGAGGGAGACTTCTTTCTCAATCCGAATTGAGGCTTCTAAACTCTTCCTTTAAAGGAGGATTTATTGGCGGAAAAACAGAAAATTGAAAATAGGCCCCTTTAGGTATAAACAGCTTGTGCCTTCTGGTGCAGGAGAAGCTGAGTGCCCGGGACCGGGAAAGGAAAAATAGGGTTGCACAATCATAGCGTCACTTTTTGGCTTCCAGTAGCAAAACTTGGGCCCCTTCCCAAAACCCCAAATAATAGAGCAATACACAGAATACCGCCTGATCTGGCAAGCTGACTGTCACTTAATACAGAGGCCCGTCAGCCCTAGGACGTGCTGTGCAGGCAGTGGTGAGCGCATCTGGATCCCCAGATCTCGTGGGTACAAGGAACTCTGCAGCTCCCTCAAAGCGTAACCTCTTCCTGTGTCAGAGGGCTTCAGGCTGCACCCGGCAGGAATATTTGTTTGTTGGCTCTTTTCCCACATGATTTTCCCCTGTGCCCACCTCAAGAGCGCCCGGAGCTGAGCCGCTGGCATCAGCGGAGATGATTACGCCTTGCACCTGTATGCTCAGTTGCACTGCGAAGATGTCAGCTCTTGGCTTCTGTCCGCTCCTGTCGGCTCCTCTCTGGTGGAAGCCTCCATTGGATCTGAAAACCTCTCTCTTCCTGCGTCAGTCACCTTTTTTACTAAGCGGGTGGTGACAGAGTTGAGAGGTAAAAGAAATAGCATCCGGTGTTCACCACCAGGAGTTAATGGTGGTCCAAGTGACCATTTATGAGATCCACTTGGCCAGCTCCCCTTATACTTGATTCCCTTAACCCACGAACTTCTAAGTTTTCAATTCTATATAGAACGGTGGTAAATAATGAGTTAAAGGGAGAGGGAGGGGCGGGCATCTATGGGCTCATGAGGCCTTTGGAGAGCACTAAGCAGCGAGCGCATCCAGCCGCCGTCCTGCAGGCATCCTGGCTCTCTCTTGGCAAGGTGCTAGGCAGTGACCCGATGATCCTGTGCTTCCTCCTACAGTGGCCGACCGGAAGCCTTCCAGTCCAGGGGGCAAGGCCCCCGACGCCCTCAGTAGCTTACATGGACTTACCATCCCGGCCTCCACCTCCTAGGGGCAACTCTTCCCCAGCCCCAGCCTGAGCCTGAGGAAACTGCGGACGGCCGGGCGGCCCAGGGCGCGCAGCTCCTCCCTGCAGCGGTGGCGCAGCGAGACCCTAGGACACACAGAGGAGGAACCGACCTGGGCTGGCGGGGACACATTCAGTCAACCCTGGCTACGTTCTGCCTCTAGCCTGGCCAGCACAGTTTCTTTTTGGGCCGGGGTATTTTGACTTTTCTGAACTTTGGCTTTAGACCATTGCACCGTCGTCACGATTCTTGCTCCGACGTGGCGTCCCTTGCCCTGCCAGACTCAAATTTCTTTTTCTTTTTTTGTCATCTTTTTCTGCTCTTCCTCCTTTCCTCCTCCCACTTCTCTTTCTCTCTCTCCCCCTTTTCTTTCTTTCCTTTTTCCTTCTTCCATCTCATCCTACTTTACCTTTCTCTCCCTCCCTCTCTTGGCTTTGCCCTCTCCCCCACCTCTTTCCTTCTATTTTTCCCCTCCTCCCCTTTCCTTTGGTTCATCCCGGTGGTCCATGCTCTTCCCTTTCTTTTTACCCCTTTTATCTTTGGGGGCTTTATTTCCTTTCATCTGTACAGCTTCCCTAACCCTGTACCTTTCCCTGTCTGGAAAGCCCCAGACCAGACCTGTGACAGTTCCTTCTCTGAAGCCCCCAACCCTTTGAGTCCCTTAGGTCTAAGGGGTCTTGGAACTTAGAAAGTGGACAGAGAAGCCACAGCACTCCCCCCTGGTCTTTTTTTTTTTAGTGCTGGGAATGGAATTCAGGACCTGGTACCTGCTAGACAAGCCTTGTATCACCTAGTTACATCCCCAGCCCGGCCATAGCCTCATTTTATACTTTTATAACCAACCAAAACACAACCTCGATGGTCAAATTAATTGTCTTCCTTCCTTAGTATATTGGTGGAAGTCTATATTTTCTCAGTGCTTGGTGGCTGGGCTTCTCTTTACTTCTGAGATGATGTCACCCCAAAGAAGTTTGGGGTAAGAGTAAGGGACAGAGTAAGGGACAATGGGGCTGTCAGTGTTTTCAGTAATTAGAAAACTAGGGATCCTGGAGGAGCCCCCTCCCACCCCTCAACTCTCAAAACTTGGGTAACTGACAGATGGTAAAGGTATTGGCATTGATTTTGGTGTTCAGGGACCAGAATGATTGCTAACTTAAACACAAACTGCTTCCAGGTACCAAGGTTCATTTGGGCTTCTTGTTCAAAAAAGTGGGTGGGTGGGCTCAGAAAGTGTCTGCTAGAGCTAGATACATGGGCTATTCATTGATTTCAAGTCCAGGCGCATTGGTGGTGGGACCCTGGGGGTATAATGCAATTGTGTAATCTTAAAAAGATCATTGGTGAAGAGTCTGACATCACCTGTTAAATATGGATGCCTTTGAATAAAGGAAAGCATCTGAAACTTACTTGGTAAGGGTGAGCAAGCCTGTGTCCCTGTGTTGAGTTTTGTGTACTTATCACAAAGCTACCCCAGCCCCTGACTTCAAGGGATGAACACTAACAGAGGAAATTATTTAATTGGTTTATTCATGAGCATTTGCAACCCTGGTTGGGCAACAGGTAGGAAGAGAAAGTGGAATGAGTATTTGTTAATGGGTGGGCACCCCTGATGTACCTGACAGCTCCTTTTCCCTTTGTTATGGGCTTGATTTCTAGAGTTCTAGAAAATGCCAGATGAGCCATGGGGAACTGAGATAGACAATATGCAGAAATCATCCTAAAGTGGGCAAAAGGCAATGAACAACAACAAAGGGCTTCCCCCACCCCCAGAACATTTCTAACATTCTAGAAGCTAAAGGAAATTATCTCAGGTTACCAAATAATCTTTTTTTTTTTTTTTTTCAACTACAAAGCAGTTTCTGGCTGGTGGTTTTGTTTTTCCTCCTCGTTTGGTTTTCTAAAACTGATGGAAGAGATTTTTGAATTGAAGTTATTGCTTGTAAGTGGAGCTGCCTGCTTGTGCATGGTTTGCTCTGGACCCATCAAGAAAACCAGTGGGAAATGGTTTTCATTGCACCTTTTTTTTAGCTACAGTACCTATTTTTTTTTCACATAGATATATTTCTTCTCAAGTTTTCAAAGCCTCTTGTCTTTGAAAAAAGTTCCATTTTATAGACAGGGTATACTAAAGGGCTGGGATTTAGTTTATTTTTTTGTAGACCTTATAGCAAGCTGTGATTCACAGAGCTTGGAAATGAAAAATGGGTGACTTCTGCTCATTTAAGAATCAGGACTGAGACATGAACTTGGAGATGGGAGTTGTCAGAGTTCTGAGTGCCAGCTTCTCTAAGCTGGTCAGAATGATGTGAAAAGAAGTGTTTTCCCCAAGTGCCTGTGCCCTCAGCCTGCCTTTGTGTGATACGATGAATATCACATACTCAGTCATGGCATTACAGACAGGATTTTTATGTGTCCATCTTGCTGCCTGGAGAAGTACTGGCATGCTTAGGACGGGCAAGACGTCACAATACTTTCTGAAGAAATGAGAAGCATTCATACAACAGTCTCTATCTTTGACTTGTCACCACCTCATTTCTCTGCCACTTTTCACTTCTGTGTTCAGGCTGCTTAGGGTTAAGAGGGAGAAGACCTGGGAAACACAACCCAGAGTGATGAAAGGTGCCTATATTTTCAATGGCAGCTGCAAAGGAAAGTTTTTTCCCACATCTGTCCTCTAGAGTCTTTATGTCCTGTGGCTAAAGGTGAGTTTTTCAGAGTTCTTTTCATTGACAGAAGACAGGTGGCCTTCAGTTACAGTGCAAGCAGACTTTGGCATTTCATGTAAGATACAGAGGGGGGAGCATACCTTTTCTTTTGATACTGGCTATGGAGAATCCCAATGAACTTGGCTTAAATTCCACTGCATGAACACAGAAGGCTGTGACCTCTCTGTGCCTCTGTGTTCTCATCTGTGAAATGCACACTTCAAATGCAGTAACACCTGCAATGACCTGGCCTGTGGGGAGATTGGCAGTGGCATTGCTTCACCTCTCTTTAGGTGTTAAAAAGGGATTTGTTGCTGGGGTGGTGGTGGTGGACTGAGGGTGTAGCTCAATGCTAGAGTACTTGCCTAGCATGCATGAGACCCTGGGTTCCACCACCAGGAAAGAATGAACACACACACACATTTAGAGGAATCATTAGTAAGGTTGATGAGGGACCCAGGATTTAAATACTTTTCAAAGGATCCTATTGGAAGATTGAATATTTTTTTTCTTCACGCATATGAATATGTGACAGCATTGCAAACTTCTAATAAAATTATATAGTACCATGTCAGGTAGAAAAATTTGAGAAAGAATCACTTCTTGGGCTGGGGTTGTGGCTCCGTGGTAGAGTGCTTGCCTGGGTTCGATTCTCAGCACTGCATATAAATAAATAAAATAAAGGTCCACTGACAACTAAAAATATTTTAAAAAAGAATCACTTCTCAAAGGTAGCTTATCTTTGCACTAGCACCTGTCTTTTATTATTTTTTTTAAATTTAGGAATAAAATTGAGATAGGTAAAAGGGATATTTGTATCATATTTTAAAAATGTAGAGATCCCAAAGAAATTAAACAAAGAGACATATCTGTGCTTTGATGGTTTTGAATCAATGAGAGTCATATAAATCCAACATTAAGCTCCATCAGCATTGAGACATTAAAAAGGGAACTAAGCTGGGAGTGGTGGCATACACCTGTAATCCAGGTGCTCAGGAACCTGAGGCAGGAGGATTAAAAGTTCGAGGTCAGCCTGGGCAACTTAGTGGAACCCTGTTTCAAAATAAAATAAAAAGGGCTGGGGGTATAAAACAGTGTAGAATGCCCCTGGGTTTAATGTCCAGGAAAACACATACATATATTTTTCAAAGAAACTTTCGTTTCTTTCTACTTTCATCTCTCTCCTTAAAGGTGGATATTTTATAAACACAGGAAAAAATATGCATGCAGTGGAGTATGTGTTTCTGTCCATCTGCTATTTAAAAGTGCACACCAAAATGTTGTGCAACACACACAGATATGGTGTGCAGATCTGCTCTCTGCATACCAACAGCTTTAGCTCCACCACATTCACTTTATTCTCTTGAATGGATGCATATCAACAAGGGTTTATTAAAACCACTGTATTTGTTAAGAGGGCCAGCTTCGTGCTTTCAATGAATAAAGATAGGATTTTGTTGCCTTCATTGTTAGGGGAAGTACTTAGAGTGGATTGTAATAACTTCCCTGGGAAAGGTGGCTGCTTTTTGGCAAGGAGGAGGGAAAGCAAACCAAAGGAGAGAAGACTGGAGGGACAAGAGACACAGAGCTTTTGTCCTTTTGGAAGATATCTGGACTTTTTCTATAGACCACTGAAGGGCATTGGGAGCTGGGGAAGACAACTTTCTTCCCCTTTAAAAGGGAGTCAGGCTCTTTTGTCAGAAAGAGAAACAGAGGCAAAAGAGTGGGGGGAAACAATAAATATTGACATAGATAAAGTTTGAATATCTAATATTGGTACAAACATCCCTTTTACCTATCCCAAATCACTGAAATCCTCCATGGGAATTAACCTCTTGATGGGTGAATGCTGCTCCCTGACAACTTTATTTCCCTCATTTGCCTGCTTTTTTTTTTTGACTCCTGCAAAGAGATTGGGATTTATTCGATTGAACTGTGATCTGAGTAAAGCACACTGTAGATTTCCTGGCATCAGCTCCCTGACTAGAATTACATTGGCCTGGGTTTCTTTTCAAAAGGAATTCTACCTGCTCCGTGTTATGCTGGATGATATGAATTTAGAATCTTGCCAGAATGTGCCTGAGGAACTCAGTTGAAAGGATCCTGCATCCAGACAGGCCATGTAATGAGAAACATTTGATTCCTTTCTTTTAATGGGTAGGAATTATGCACAAAATGCTATTTGGTCTTCACCTTGACCTTGCTGTCTGAACTATAGCCTCCCTCATTTGAAGAAATATCCTGTGGCTGAGATATCACTAGCTAAACCTTTGTATCTC